TTAGATATGCTATATGCTAGGCTAGTCCATGATGAAAAGACAGCAAAATGCTAGCTAACTAGTTAGCTAATCTACATCAAGATATTGTTTTTGGACTCAGTTCAGTCGTTTGCGGACTTTTAATAAACTCCTGACCCGTTTGAGCCAGTCGATTATTTAATCAGAGCTTCAGTCGGGATACATCCTGAGCTGGTTGCACTGAAGCAGAGTTGAACCCTACAAACAGAAATGAAGCAGCAGAAACAGAACATCAGTCGGGTCATTAAACACATACGAGGTCGTACAGATACAGTGAAGCTTATTGAAACGATCACTTCTGATCAAAACTATGAAAACAAAACAGAAAGTGACAGGAATAAGTGGAAAGATATGCCAGTGATATCACGTCTAAAGGAATATTGTGTGAGTCGTTACTGAGGACGGTCGTAATGCAGCAGATTAACCTGAGTGTTAAACTGTGGGCTGCGAGTACACGGTGATACTGTCACACCTCGCTCACACATACAGCTTCACTTTAATGAGTGAATTTAATCCTCCGCTCTGATTGGTTCATTGGTGATGACAGAATACAGTAGTTAGTTTTCCACATTTAACCACTATAATAACTTTCTCCTCTGTTAGGTGTAAAACTTCTTTAGTGGAGTCGAAAACATTTCCAATTTCAGACTCAAAACAACAGCGAGCAAATGAGGAAGAGGAACCTAAAACAAGAGGTTGCTATTGTTCAACTTCTATGCTGCATCTGGGCCAAATCCTATTTTTAAGATAAAAACGTTATATATGCAGATGACACCCCAATTTAGCTCTGTCGTTAAATCACTACGGTACCAAATAAACAAATAACTGTATTATTATGTATTACTTTCCTACTGAGAAATACTTTGCTATTAACAAATCTGTTAATAACAAATGAGGAAGAAGCGCCTAAAACAAGAGGGATTTTAATGTGAGAACCAAACTGACAAACGCTGTCGAGTACTGAAGACCTTTGTGCTGGTCGGGCAAAGACTGTTCATTAGAAGTCGAAGGGAACTTATTCCAGAGAGAATAAAATCTCTATTAGTTAGTGCTTTAATTGGGCTACTGAGTACCAGCACTTCTAATTTTTCTCCACGAGTAAACACAGCTAGCTTAATGCTAAGAAAACAGCACTGAAAATGTTCTTAATAAAACAGCAAACCAATTAGGGTTGTGCTGCATTAGGTGCTACTGGCACCTAATTTGGTCCAATTCAGGCACTGGGTGTTTGGACAGGTTGTGCAGAATTCACAGGAATCGACTGAATTGGAATTAAACGTTGTTATCACATCACAACGTCCTGAAGGGATTTATCGACTTCTCCAGGCTGCACCGCTGTACACAGATTTATTATTATTTATTATTCATTAGCCCGTTTTTAGAGGTTCAACTCTTAAAGAATGACATCGTATCGCGCCTCCGGTGTTCAGACTTTATGTGTGAACGAGGCGTAAAATCAGTCAAGTTCTTCGGATACTGCTGAAAATGCAGTAGTGGGTATCAGCAAGTACTCGTGTCTGTGCACCAAGTTATTGTTCAAAGTTTATTATATTGAAAGTGACTTTAAAAGAGGAATATATAAATCCATTATGAAGTGGCCCAGGCTGCTGCAGGATCACTGTGTGCTCGGTGCTACTCCAGCGGTTAATATACACATTTAAAACGTGCAGTACGACCGTTCCTCAGCGGCGCCACCTGTCTACTGATATGATACATCATTTCTGAATCAGGACGAACACAACGTCCACCATCAAGAGGAAAAGTGGTGTTTTTTTACATTCTGTGCAAAATTAGACGAAAAGTAGTCCACACATCATCATCATCATTATCGTCATCGTCGTCAGTCGACAGTCTATTATTCTCGTTCAGTCAGTTTTCTTCTATTTACAGTTAGTTTCTAAGACGTTAGTACCCCCGGCCCCCAGCGGACCATAAGACATTCCTCAGAGGGACAAAATCCACCTTCAAGCTGAACTCTGTAATCTTTAGTCCTGGTCTGAGACGTCTGTACGTACATAATCAACTCCTGAGTGCGTCTACAATCTGATACAGTCTCACTCAACAATCCTGTCGCTGTTCCGACGCCGAGCTGCTGCTGCTGCGGATATCTGAGCCGAATAAAAGAGCAAAGTAAGTTTAACAATCTTTTATACGTTTGTGGAACGAAAGAACAGCTGAGGAACTAGCCCTTCATTAACTTTCTCTGACTTTTACTGAATTATGATGATATAATTATTAATGCTGGGCTTGTTTATCAGATTTTATCTCATAGTTATGACTTTATATCACAATTATTAGATAATACCACCTTTCATTATGAGGGAACTGGGTTTGTCATAATTATAAGAACAAGTAATTAAAGTATTATTATTAAAACTATATTATGAAAAACTTAGTGTCAAGATTATAAATTAGAAGTAGTCTTTTCTACATTTAGTATCATTTTTCCTAAATGTTGCAGGTCTTCTATCAGCTGCAGCTTAATATGAGTTTTACTCTTCATCATATTCCTGCTCCCTGATTACTGAAGGCTTCACGTGTGAACAATCTTCTGTGACGTTTCAGGAGTTTGTTGCTCTCGTCTCATTTCCAGGATCCCTGATAATTAAACTACCGTAACATTGGAACAGTAATTCCATCTTAAGGTGGATTTTCATCCTCATCTTTCAGTTTTAAAAACAACCTGCTGCTATTCAGCTGTCTATTTAAAAGGCATTCAGCAGGTAAAAAACACAGGGCACACAGTGAAAGAGGAGGGAAGAGGGGAGCGGGAATAGAAAAATAAAAATAAAAAAATAAAAAACTGTGGCAGACACAACTAGACGATCACCTCACTTCACTCTGTGGCAGAGAAACATAAAAAATGTAAAAAATAAAGTTTCAGAGGAGGCGGGGCACCAGGCGAGGAGGAGGAAGGCAGAGAGGAAGAGGAGGAGGAAGAGGAAGAGGTCTGGCAGAACATGTCTCAGTCTCAGAAGAACTTGTCGTCGATGCGGAAGTGCGGTCGCGTGACGTCGTCTGGGTTGATGAAGACTGAGATGGATTTCCCAGGATTCTCTGTGACCAGCTGCTGAAGCTTCTTGGCCAGCCGGTCGTCTGGCTGGTTCTCTCCGCCGGCGTCGGACTGCGGCGACGGCAGGTTGTTGGCGCTGCCTCGCCACTGCAGGTCCACCGTCAGCCTGTTGGCGGCCTTGGCGTGCTCGATGGTGGTGCGGAGGTGCTCGGCCGGGTCGGAGCGCACCGAGGAGAGTTTGCGGGCGTGCAGCATGACGGTCTCGTCTGACAGGTGCTCCAGCATGTTGCACTGAGGAATGAAGTAATTGGGACACATCTTGTTGACGAGGCAGTGCTGCAGGTCGTCGATCAGGCCCAGCAGGAAGTGGGCGGAGAAGTCGTCCTGCGCCAGGTAGTTGGCGGGAAGGCGGTCACAAGCCCACAGCATGATGCTGCGGAGGTGGTAGGGGCTGATGGCTTTGGGGCGGGACAACAGCTTGATGATGATGGCTTTACAGGCCTGGTACGCCTGCATCAGGCTGGACGAGATGCACTTCTTCAGCTGCACCTCACTGCGGGCGAATGAGAGGCGCCACTCGTTCTCCTTGCGGCCTTTGAAGGAGCAGGCGGGGACGAGGTAGAAGCCGCTGATCACCTCCTCTTCAGTGATCTTCCCGTCCCAAAAGTGGTTCTCCATCAGCCAGCTCTGAGCGACGGCCGGCCAGCCTTTGAACGACACCACGGGGACGATGTCGTAGAGCATCCGGCTGCTCCCGACGCCCAGGATGACGGAGATGATGGTCCCGTTCCTCTCCACCTTCTCCACTCTCGGCATCCCTCGCTGCGGCTTCTTCTGCACCTCCAGCAGCACCAGGGAGATGGACTGGTAGAACCAGTCGGCCACCAGCGTCGGAGAGAAGAAGTAGTTGGTGGTTCCGTTGATGTGGTCGACGATGGTGCAGCAGTCCTTCCACTTGTTGATGGTTCCTTCGTCGAAGAGGCGAAGGCTGAGCCAGGAGTGGCCCAGGGCCGAGTGCCTCATGTCCAGGGTCACCGGCTGGTTGCGGTCGTGGAGTTTGAGCGCCGGGACCAGCAGGGTGAAGTCCATGTCGTAGTCTGTGCCACGAGCGTAGACGCTCAGCTCGTCCAAGTCCATGTCCACCACACCTTCCCGAACGCCTCCCGACAGGAGGAGGTACTCGTTGGCCACCGGGAGCTTTTGGTCCAACTTCTGGACCATTCCTGAGAGACAAAAGGAGGAGAGACACATTTAGATAAAGAACTACGACTTCATATTACAAACACGAACACATCAGAGCTCGACGACATCTTGTTCAGGCATCAGTCTGGTTCAGATTATCAAACAAGGTTTCCTCCCGCTCCAGCATCAGAACCAGAAACGATAGAAATAGATTCAAATAGAGATTGCAGCCATGAAATCTCAGATATATCAGTGTATTCAGTCGTATCCACGCAGTTTGATCGGTTGCCATAAAAGTATCAAAGTTCGGTACCGAGTCCTAGGTGTGATTTGTTTTATTTAGTTTTTTACCGTGGTATTGAGAATGGTGGAATTTCACTGGTATTGAATACTAACTTTCTGGTATTGTGGCTCAATGGCTCCATTTAGTCTGATAACGGGTATAAACTTTCCGTGGAGGTTTACTAACTGCACGTATTCACTACTTCAACCGATTCATGAAGCTCCACAGATAAATTCTACAGTTCAACTTTAAAACTGAGTTTGAACAACGTGTACTGCTGCTTGTTAACAGTGTCGCTCTCTTTCAGGACTGATTACCCTCAGAGCCCCTTTCACATCAGATCTCTTGTCTTTAATGAATGTGGGTCAGTTTTTGGAGTCTGGACCGCATCAGACCAGACGGGTTATTGTGTTCATCCCCACCAGTTGGACCGGACTGAACTGGTTTTCCGCTCTGCTGAGCTAAAAGTGTAGAGACACGAACTTCCTGTGTGATTGCTGCATTCCTGTGCGGCAGTGAAGTGGACGGTTTGTGTGCTGCTTTCACTGCTCGTCACAAACAGTCCGAACCGACAGCGTTCACCGAACCTCCACCGGCACAATGATCCATTACTACAAACACTTTGTATAGAAAACACAAATTAAAGTCGTAACCAGGTTTTACTTTAACCAGCACGTCAAATGTAGCAGATTAAAATATCAACGGTTAAAATGTCCGGTGGGAAATATTACAAATAAATAAATATATTCATTAATAGCTCATTAAGTAGCCTAAGACTGTGTGACCTACAGATGTAAGATAACCGGCGAGAACCTGATTCACACTTGGCGGGCGTATTTCTCACTACCTAAACAAGTTGGTTGATTCATCAAACCGAGCGTCTCTCCTGATTGGCTCCTGACGGACGGCAGCAGAGGAAGCGACAGGCTCGTTGGAGATGACGAGGACGTCCCGCACGCCGACCACGGCTAACACCGGATTCAGTCTGGAGCCGGCTTCACCGCCATCAGCTGACTCGTTGGTTTTCTTTCATTAAAACGACAACGTGAGTCTGGATTCATCTTCAGTTTCTGTCAGTTCCAGATAATATTTGCTTCGTGACGGTCGGACGAACGCGAACTGTGAACGCATCAGGAGCTGGAAGCTGTTCATGTAGAGATCTAACACACTGTACACACACCTGTACACACACCTGTACACACACCTGTACACACACCTGTACACACACCTGTACACAGCGTGACGGCTGATCTGCCTTTGAAACAAGAGGAAGTTTTGTGCTTTTGTCAGAAATGTTGCATTTAATAAATTTAGTTCAGTCAGATGGACTTTATTTTATAGTGTGTGTGTGTGTGTGTGTGTGTCTGTGTGTCTGTCTGTGTGTTGTCTGTGTGTGTGTGTGTGTGTCTGTGTGTGTGTGTTGTCTGTGTCTGTGTGTGTGTGTGTCTGTGTGTGTGTGTGT